TACGTGTCGTGTGGGGCGGGCGCGTCGCCTCAGCGCGGGGAGCGGGAAAACGCGGCCCGAACGGGCGGCGCGGGCTTCCCCCGCGGCTCGCAGCGCTGCGGCGACCGTTACGTGTCGTGTGGGGCGGGCGAAACGCGGCCCGAACGGGCGGCGYGGGCTTTCCCCGCTTCTCGTAACGCCGCGGCGACCGTTACGTGTCGTGTGGGGCGGGAGCCCGTTATCCCGCTTCAGCCGAGCTGCCAGGAAACGCTTTGGCCCGGTTGTTTGTGCCCACGTCAAGCTCGTTCTGTAGATATCCTACGTGGGATAGAAATACATGTGAGTTAAACCAAAAAAAACCCGCATTTTTATGTTGGAAGTAAATCCCTCAAGACCTTTGCATCAAATTGTCTCGCTTTGAAACCATTCCTCAGTAAAAATCGCTTTTTTTTTTCTTGGCAAACAGATTGTCGCTTATTCACCCCTCTGCACACGGTGGTCAGAGCATGAGGGACTAATGTCCCCGCTATATGGACCAAGACACCAAGGAGGATTTAATTTCCAGATGCCATCTTCCAGGTAAGCAGAGCAAAGTCACTTTGGCCGAAAGCCCCCGTTTTTTGAATTGTCCATCTGTAGTTTGGCCATGAGGTGGCAATAGTAGGTGGTGCTCAGCACTCGCCTGCCTGCTCAGCAGCCACCGCTTTCAGTTCTGCAATTTGCACAAAGTCTGAGCTGGGAAAGAGCTTAAGAGTAAGCTCATTTGCAAGCACATGATTCTGTCTGTTGACTTGGGGGTGCTTGGTGGTGGTTTGGTTTTGCTTTGGGTTTTGTCTTTCGCGCAGTTTGGGGTGCGGATGTCACTGGAGGTAAMCAGAAGCACTCGGTGGTGTCTGTGCTGTGCGCTTGCACAGAGCTGCATTTCTCTTGGTGCTGCCAAATGCAGCATTCRTCCCTCTGAACACAACAACACTGATGCATTTCCCCCAAGAAAACAGATTTGAAAAACCAGTTGGAATTTCCCCCTGGAAATCAGCGGRCTCTGGGGATGGTCTTGTGTCCGACCACAACCCTTTCCGCATGCGCTGTCAGTTAAGCCCTCTGTGTCTCAAGGGGCTCCACACACACAGCCTCAAGAGCTTAGTGTAATGCTCGAGAGAGAGAAAAAAACCTTTAATTTAGGTTTTAATAGGATTACAGATGGGTAGATGCAGACATCATGGAAAAATCCATTCAATGATTTGGGAGGTCGGTGCACTGGCTCRTTGGCCACTTTTAACGTTAAAAGTCACAAGGAGAGAATGAAGGAGGTTGTGGTTTTTGACTTGCATTATCTTATAACTTCCGTTGAGATAAGACAGCTAAAACAGTGTGCAAGCCACATTGAGACAGACTGGCCCTAACAACAAGACCCACTCTTTCATTTGTAACGGGAAATAATGTCTATAGTGCCTGAACAGTTCACAATACTTAGTGCTTTTTAAGGAAATAATCTAAGGAAGGTTGAGTGAAAGGCAAATGTTTGCACTGTTATTTTACGTATTTACTTGGTTTATGTTAATGTGCAGCTGATTTATATTAAATAAAGATTTTCATGTTATTACCACTGATTTGTTTGTTTTTGCCAGGCATAATATTTATGCAAACAAGATTATGGCAGATCCTTTAGAATCCAATTTCCCCTTTCCCCAACCATACAATTCAAAAGCAAAGAGTAAGCTGGGATTGAATACGGGTTTGTAGAGAATAAAAGCAATAGAGATGTAAGGCAGCTTTTATTGGTTTAGAACTCATAGAAAACCGTTTTGTCCTGAGAGTAATCGCTTTTGGTCACACACCAGAGAAGATGTGCCGGAGATGAGAAAGGTCACAATCTTTTTGATAAGGGCCAAGTTTCCTCCCCTACAGAATCAAATTCTCCTCTGTGAGCTTCTGCTTTAGCTTCCTTTTCTGCTGGCCCACCAAGAAGTCGTGGAACTTCATGCTGGGAAAATCACTGCCAGCGTCAGCCCCTGACCCAGACTCCTGCTCCGCTTCAGCCACGTCCTCGAACCCAGAGCTGGAGTCCTCTTCTGAAAGTGGAAATATACGGGCCAGCTCCTGGTAGTCCTTCATCCTGAAACACGGAGCCACAGTATTTACAACAGAGCTTAGCACGGGGTTGCTGCCCCCCTAATGCAACCCTCCCTCCAGGAAAAGCGTGTTTGAAAACAAAACAAAACTATGGGCACTTGAGGCAGTTTAGGGGGAATTTCAGTGGGAAGAGAGCCTTGGGACTAACCAGCCTTGGAAAGAGTCACAGCCAAATGATTTAATGCAGGCAGAAGAAATATTTAATGCATCACGAGGGTTTGCTGCTGCTGCTGCTGCTGCTGCTGCTGCTGCCAGTTAGCTACCCTCCCCGGATGGCTGCAAGGGAAAGCTTGAGGTGGTGCATTGCCACAAAGTTTGAAACAGCAGCACCCAAGCCGCAAATTTAACGGCATGTGAACTTCTGTCCACCGCAGAGAACAGCGTTTCCCCTTTCCACCTGCAAGCAGGGAAGAGCCCAACTCCTCCTCCTGAAGTGGAGCCCAAACAGTACCATGTAAAGCTGCTGTCACACTCCTATTTATACATTATACATGCTGAAGCCTCTCAAAGGATATTTTCAGCTAGTGGTGAACATTTCACTGCACGAGTCGACTCTGCAGCTCTCGTCAGTGCCGCAGCCCCAGCATTCAGAGGGGAGAGTGTGAGGATGTGTCCACCCAACTGGACACCACCAGCCCTGTCCAGTCTCCTCCCAAAGGACTAAGACTAAGCACATACAGCGTGTGAAGATGCAGCGCAGGAACTTACAGAGAGGGATCAGCCATGGGAGGCAGGATGCGGTTTGCTCCACCTTGGGGCATGTAAAACCAGGGCCCTTTCTCCTCGATGCAGTTGGCAGACCAGGCGTCCGGCCGGCACCTCACGCGCTTGTATCTCGCCTTCTGCAGCGGCGCCCCTGCACAAAGCAGCGAGCACAGCGTTACTCACACAGCACCGGGACCTGCCAGCTGGTGCTGCGGGCACAGCACCAAGAGCAGCGGCCGAGGGACCCAAACCCAAGGTGCCCAAGGGGCACCCGGCAAAGCRGATTTGGGAAGCGAGCCGCCGTGCTGCCACGGAGCTTGCAAATCCCGTMCGGGGAAAGTAGGCGATTCAGACATTGGCCAGGTGCTTCTTCACAATTAAGTCAACTGGCAGTTTCATTCCCAGTTCCCCCTCGCCCCTCCGATGCCTCGTCAGGACTGCTGCTCAGAAGGAGGTTTTCAGAAAGTATCGAAAGGAGAAAACGAGGATCACAAAATAGGGATAAAAACAACAGCGTTTCGTCCTTCTGTTTGTTCTTGCTTAATTAACGTGCTCTGAAGCCTCCTGGCACCTTCTCTTCTTTTTGGCACTTTATCTATTTTTTCTCAATTCCTTGGGAATATCTTTCTGTAATTACAACTCTCTCTCATCCTATATATTACCATAATGTACAAGATGACTTTCAGCCACCTCCTACTCACTTCTATAAGAAATAGCATCATTTCATGTTCCTTTTATAACAAAATTCCCTTTTCATATTTTTCTCTGTTAGCTTATTAGTATTTTTTCCTTCTACAGAAGTGGCAAAAATTAACTAGTGTGGCAGAATAATTTACAAATAAATCACTGTGCCAAAAACAGGCCATCATCTCTCAGAGGAGAGCCATAGAGGAGAGAGGCCTATCACCTTTTTAGGTGTTTGGGGACGATTTGTGCTATCTGTGCTTGAGAAGTAGTTATCTCTCACAAGAAACAAATCCACAGAGTGCGTATCACCATGAATCAACATTTCCTTTGGGTGAGTTCAGCACTGTGTGTCGCAATTCTTTTTTGCTGTACAGAATCAAGCGTTTAATTTCCCAATGAATTTCCTTTTCCTCCCTCAGAAAATGAGTAGAGTTACAACATGGGAGCTGCCTGAAACTACATTAGTGAATAATAGTTACATAAATGAGATACTGTGGAACAGCTAACTAAATCAAAAAGATACTGAACTAATTTCAGTAACTTTTTGTATGAAGCCTTTTACCCATAGAAGCTGGCTGAGGGACACAGAAATGGTCCACTTTCTAGACCGGACAGAAGACATCTATACTTATAAACCCCCTCACAGCATGTTAGCAAAACAGTTTTTTACAAGCAGATTTCGTTACTGCTACAAGAAGGTCAATATCAAGTATTTTCCCCCAAATTCAGAGGCTGCTCCCTTGGCCTACCCCGCATAGCTCAGAAAGAGGATTACAGAGAGAACAAGCGCTCCCAGTTTTACCTTGTGCCGTGTATCCCACAAAGAGGATTATACAGAGAGCCACGAAAATCCTCCCATTGCACCCGACGAGGAGCTGCATCTTGGCCCGCATTGCCAGCCTTTGTGCACCACAAATACAGCGAGGCCAGGAGCTCGGCGCCTGAAAAGGTTTCCAAAACCTCAGACCCAGCCCCTAACCTGCGTCACGGCTTCCTGCTTGACTCACACAAGGCATCTACAGAAAATCCCCGCTGCCTTCCTCTCAGATTCAGCCTGAGGACGCAGGTGACCCTCAGCCAGAGCGGGCAGAGCCATGCCCCAGGGTACGTGCGGGCCCCGACGTGAAGAGTTCCCGCGTGGTCACTCTTCGCTCCGGAGAGAAACGGCATCGTGGGCCACCTTCCTGCCCACTGTGTCAGCACGAGGAGGGCTGGAAGCCGCTGTTTGAACCCTGCAGTGGCTCCCAGTGGGAAATAATCGTGCCGTGCACACGCGAGCTATTTCAGGGACTGCACAGCAATTGCTTTTTCTTCTTTTCCTTTATTTATTTTCCTTTTTTGAAGGTAACTTAGATATTCTGAGCAAAAATGAACAAGTGGAAAGAGTGGAAATCATGGCACCATTGATATCATTTGCACCAGTGAAGGGAAAGTGAGAAAAAAACAGCTACAAGAGAGGAGTCCTTCCTCTCTGCAGCCAGGTAGCAGTGCTACCACGGGGGTTTTTAGCCTTCCCATTTGTCCAGCTGATCTCTTGGGCACTTGGACATCAGCCCCTGGCATTTACCTGACAGGGCAGCACTCTGGGTGAGCAGGTTAACAGGGCCAGAGCTAGAACGGGAGCTCTAAAACATCCAAGGATACAGGCAGTACCCACCTTTCCTCCACACGGAGCACAGAGCGGGTGCAGGTTGCTGCAGGCACCCGAGAACTGACACAGCTCAGGGATGTGATGTAGTGCGTTTTGATGCCTGTTTTCCTGGCTGAATTGGAGTTTTCCTAAACAATGCCAGATACAAAAAAAAAATTGTGATTTTATCAACATACAAAACTCCAAAGCCCCTCAAACCTGTTACAGAGATATATTTAAGTTGCTTTATACCTTTTGCTTATCTCTTACTTCAGTTTAAACYGGCCAGGCTTGAGTTTTTCTAAGAAGAAACTACACACAACAAGCTTATCTAAGTTTGTTTCATGATTAGTTGCTGAATTAATCAGGGTAACAATGTGCAGGCCTGATGAACCAACAGCAGCCCCGATGACTTGCATAAAATTCTGCTGCAAGGGGAAAAGCCCTTCCCCACTCTGATGTGATGGGATCCCCCTCCTGTGTGTCACACAGAGGAGGGATTTCTGGTGCTCGCAGGAAGCAGCTCCCTTCACTGCCCATATGTGGCCTGAGAGCATAGGTGCAATTCACACCTTGGTGGCTGACCACACTCAGCAGCTTCTTTTACAGCCCATTTTCCATTTCCTATTTTTAGCATGAGCTTTCTTTTTTTTTCTCCCTCTTAGGTGGTGCTCAACATGAGTAGGAAACCAAGCAAACGTGCGCTGAGGGTTTGTCAGCCTCAGCTCACGGCTGGTCACAGAAACTGCCCCTGCAGCAGCACCACTCATTTTCCACTGGTCACGGGCAAACTGTGGGACGGAGCAGAGCACAGAGCTCGTGCACGTTTCCAGCATGGGCAAATAACCATGTACGCACACAGCCCTCAACCTCTTTCTCCATTTTGCAGTTACTTTTGCTACTCTGACACTGAAAATCCCGGGGCACCAACAGCAGAGCCCTTGTGTGGGGCAGCAAGAGCAATTCCCCAAACACCAATAATTCCCCAAATGGAAGTAATTGCTACTAGTTTGCCAGAGTCTTTCTCCAGCAACAGGGCTGGGCCCTCGTCGAGGAGCAGGGTGAGCAGCCCGAGCCTTCCCAAGGCACACGGCAAGAGCAGCAACAAGGATCTGGAGGGAGATCTCAGCACCGCCTTGCCTGCTAGGTGCCACCAGGCAGGGGGGACTTGCAKCTGTATCTGCCAGCACGAAAAATAACAGCTCTGTTATTTTCTCCTCTATCGGCAGTGCGCCCCAGGAAATGAGATTGCCTGTTTTACAGCTAGCAACCCCTCKGGCGACCAAAGCACATTTTCCATTCTTCCATCCTGTAAAGTAACTTGTTTTTACCTGCATGAAGTAGGCCAGAAACCATGGGGGAGTGCTCATTTTCTGCGCAGGATGCCAAGCTCCGGAGGCTTTCCCAGCCATTTTAAAGCAGGAGCACCTTCCTCCCCCAAATAACGGAGGTTTGGCCCCCAAGCCTCTGCCAGGGAGGCTCAGCAGGGCGAGCGCTGTCCCGTGGCATCGTCTGCAGGAGCCTGGCTGCCGGCCGTGCTGCAAGCTGCTGCGGGGTGGGCAATTCCTAACAGGAAAAYTTCCCCGCTCTGCGGAGCAGCAAACCCACCGTGGAGGGAGTCACTGTACCTGGCTCAATCTGCAGATCTGGTACCTCTCAGAAAGCCTCGAGAAGATTCATTCGTCTTACGTTCCTCACGCTTGTGTGCGGATGTCCAACTTCCCACCAAGTGCTCTCACCCCTCAAGTGTTTCCTGCGAGCCTTGTACTGAGGCCCTGCCATTATTTTCAAATCACATGTAAAGCAGATTAAGGGCTTGGCATTTTTCTACCGCATTAATTTTGGAGGAAGGAGAGAAAGATTTGTCTCCACACTGGGTGCCTGACCCCTCATGGAGCTGCTCAGGACCCTGCTGTACATGTGAAAAACCAGAAATAACCACTAAAAAAAAATCACATGTGAAGAGATAAATGCGCTCAGGCTCCGGTAAAGGAGCTTCTCATTCACAGCTCCTGGGAAAGCAGGTAAACCTCAGCTGCTGCCGGTCGCTCTGCTGTGCCCTGGAGAATGTCTTCTTTAAGGACCAAACTGGAAAAAGAGAGCAAAGTTGGGCAACAAGGAAGAAAAGGCAATGGAGTGAGCAAGAGAGAGGCAGTGCCTGAACAGCGGCAGGGTTGGACACGAAGCGCGTGCAGGCGAACACTGAGGTGGTTTACGCCCGCAGTGATGCTCGGTGCCGCAGATGTGGGTCACGCCAGGGGCCTTGGGCACCTACCCCTCGCAAACGGCCAGTTCGTAGCTGTGGATGTGCTCGAGCCTCGCGCACGGGCCCTGTGCGTCGCGTGCTCCGTGTGCGGAAAGCATCGCGTCTGCCCGCGCCGATAAGCGGCCCATCTAGCGAGACATGGCCAGCGCTCCCCGCGCCGCAGGGGACCTGGCGCCGGCGGCCAGCAGCAGCAGCACRCACAGCAGGCACTCCCTGCTTGTGCCATGGTCACGGGCAGCCAGGCTTCCAGGAAAACCACAGCTGCCTCAGGCGAGCGCCCACGGTCACTTACAGGAAGCGGCAAACGGCCTCCGTGTGTCTCACACACTATCACGAGCTGGAGAATGGAGCCCTCCTTCAGCAAGGACCCAGCACTTCCCTTTGTGCCGGGCGCGCGCTGCTCCCCCTCTCACGCCAGCTGGCCCTGGCACAGCAGGAGCCCTCAGCAGTTCCAGGACTATATATGGATATATGTATATATTGAATTCAGCAGTACGTTAGGATGTGTCAAGAGGCAGAGACCTCGGTGGTGGTGCAGCAGCCTTCCAGGCTTCCCTAAAACCTCCTCATCCCAGAGTAGCTGTTTTTTCACAGTGCAGTTTCTCCTGCTTATTTCTCCAGAGGAATAAGAGTAGAGGTAAAATCYCATCAGTGCCCCCCTCCTCATTGCTGTGAAGATCTGTGTGCCAGTTCCACCTTCTCCCATCCCATGTGCACCCTATAAATTAATAAATACCAATAAATCTCAATAACTCAAGGAGATCTTTTTCTCCCAGGGAATAATTAACCCATGTATTTGGTACAAACATGCTGTCATGGGCAGATTGCTTCACCCCACAAATCAGAGGATAACGTGTTGCAGGAAAATGCAATATGGACTGAGAAATTAAAAAGAGTTTGCGTGGAAACCCCTGATTTCAGAGGGGACCTATGAGCACCTACCTGCTACTGCCTCCTGCTCACACACGAGCTCCAGGGAACAGTCACATCTGGTTCCTGAGCTGCACGTTGAAAAGGTGTCTAAAATAGCTGGAATCAGCTTCATTATAGGCGTAACAAAAGGGATCGAGATTAACATCAGGACAGARGCAGATTTCAGTTACTCAGATAGCATCAGCTGTGGTCAGTTGAAAGGACTGATACAATTTTCCGGAGACAAAACAAGGGCCTTGCACTGCATGAAAATCCTCCCAGTGACACCCTTGCGTCACAGCCCACACCAACCAGCCCGTCTCTCTCACAGCACCAACGAGTTTTTAGSTGTTTTGACCACGTCACATGCCAAAGCTTTAAGCACTAAATATTTCAAACAATGCATACAAACCCCAGGAGCGACTAATGCTCTTCTAACTCGAGGCACCACATTTCTTATCAGCATCCCTTCTGTCTGAGAGAAACACTCAGTGCCACCAACACCTTCCGTCCTGGAGGCAAGTCGCTTGTTTGCAAAATACTCCAGATTTATTCACCCCCTTGAAGGGCCTCTCTGGCACATTGCTTTACTCTTTGGCTTAAAAGGCACCATTATCCAGTGTTTTGGAAGGGGGAGATCAGGCGAGTAAATCTGGTTAGAATTTTTTGTACACCTAACTGTCAAAACATAGAAAATATCAACTAAAATGAAAAAGTAGAAACTGCCAACAGACTCTGGAGAGRGTTCCTAGGAAGCATGTAAAAAAGCAGTTTTCAAACCAAATTTAAGATCTGCAGTAGTCACTTGGTCTAACGTGGCCCGAGATGTTGCAATGGAAGAGGGAAGAAAGTTGACAAATGCGTCTAACCGCAAACGTACGCGCTGGATCGTAACGTAACGGCCATGGGTTGTGCGGGGCTGTGACGCGCCAGCCTCGGGAGTAGCCCTGCTCGGCAGCTGTATTTCAGCATGTTTTATAATTAGAAGTTCCACAGAAAACAACTAAGATTGATCAGCTCCACTCTCCGACAGAGAGGCCCAAGTAAAGCTGACCTTCCCTCTTGCAGCGCTGAGTACGAGAAAAAAAACCCTCATGCCCAACCCCTGATGCGTCGCCTTTCCGCTTTCCTGGTAATTCACGAGGATGCCGGCACAGCTCCGGGCAGCAGAGGGGAAGGGCGGCCGCACACGCATGGATATGCGCACGGATAATTCCCCATGGGAAGAAAAAAGCCGAGCTCTCCAGCTCGTGAGGCGCCCGCTCTGGTGTCCGCTTTAAGCAAGTCGCAATCTCTCCAGCCTGGGTAAGAACGAGGATTTCCATGGAGCTGTTTCTAATCAAAAGGGCATAATTACCTCTCATCCGGGATCACGACATCTTTCTCGAGAATATCACGTGCTGTTTAATGAGGGAGCTGAGGTTGTGGCCTGCGAGTTTAGCAGATCCCACCCGTGATACCAACACTGCACAAATGGGGGCTTCTCCTCAGCCTCCCTGCTTGGTGCAGGGGAAAGGATAAAAACACCTTGCAGGACAACAGAAAACACTTTTTAGTTGTGCTATTCTTGAGGTACAAGAGGGAATAAAAAATGCAGGTTGAATGGAGTTCACGGGAGTCTTAATCTTTAATWAGGCTTTGAAATAAACGCCTGACCTCACACATGCTTTGCAGCTGAAACTCAACGTTCCCGAAGGGAGCTTTGCTGCCTAATCCAGCAAGCCCCCTCCTCCTCCCACCTTGCTCCCAATATCCAGTATATTCCCTTCTACCAACTCCTTGAGCAAACTGAAGTATTCACATGGTTCCCGTTAGACCAGGCTTGCCTGGGAATTACCACAACGTAACCAGCACCATGCTGGGTGCTGGCCCAGGGCCTCCAGGAAGAAAATACACGTCGTTCATCACAGTACTGAGTATTTATCACGAGAGGTGAAGAGCTGACATCACTGGTTTCTGCAACTTCCCTTAAATTTAAGGGATCAACCTGCAAACACACAGCTGCAAAGAAATAAATTTAAGTTTAAAAAACTACCAAGAGTGCAATACAGATTGTCTGCTTAGCAGCTCGGTATTTGATCTGAGGGACTGAAGATACTTAGAGTAAAAAAAGTCTTTTCTTATACTTACCTTTTACTGCTCCTATTTACGTCTCTAGTCTAGACTCAGTTCTTCCTTTCTTCTGAGCTTTTCCTGTAATTTGGGTCAATACAAGCAAAAAGGGCTAGTAAGGGGGAGAGGAAATAAGGGGCCAACTGCTTGCTGAAAGGGAGGTGTAGCCCTGCGCTTGGCTCAGCTTTGCCTGCTCTGCAAATAACTGTTAATTCTTCTTTTTCCTCAAGATAAATATTTGAGGGATATGACAGGATCTCTCTGTCATATCCTCTGTCTCTCTGTATGATTGTGGGTTAGCACACAAACTATTCATGTATGTCTTAGAATTCTTCCCTAAATTACAAGTAATGGAAGTCTSATGAGCCAGTCTTTGCCTTAAAACAAGTTGCCCTCAAGGTTGGAATGGGATATGCGAGGGAAAAAAGAAAAGGATCACTTTCTTCCACTCGAATATAAAGATTAAAAATAAACTTAAGATTATGAATTAACAGCAAAAAGCACGCAGTTGCTTTAGATGAGAACACAGTCAACATGCACTGCACTGAGACTTATCTCAATGAGAAACAGCAGCCAGTCCTATCTTCAGGACACAGGAAAGGCCAAGTTAAGGATCTGAAACTGCGGGGGAAAAAAGCCTCTCACCGGGGGCTGGCTGGACGYTTATTGTTAGACAACAGTCACCGCACAGACGCGTTCACACGCACTGGCCCTCCCCTATTCTGTGTGCACGCTCACCCTCCAGGCTGGCTTTGCCACCTGTCATTTCCAGAACGTTTCTTTGCCTGTTTATCTGTCGTTAGAGGTTCCACACAGAATTCTGCAAACTAGGTATTTTTACTACTTGTATTAATCATACGTGTGTTCTTGCTTGTCCATGCTTCTCCCCACAACATTATCTTCCCCTTGTTTTCATGACTACTCCTTAAGAACCCAACTGCTTCACTATGCTTCTTTAAAGCCCTGTGAAAACATCCTTCCATTAGAAATCTTCCCATGAAGTTGATCCTGGTTCAGCCACTCAGATGTCCTCGCAGATACTGAAGACAGTCACGCAGAAACACTGCCTCGCAGCTATTTTATTCCAGCCAGGGTTGTTGGCACATACCCCATCGTAAGAAGACGCAAGAAAATGGAATTCTAAGCACTATGAGGAGCATTTAGTCAAGCTAGTCCATTTATTCAGCCTGCATCGGTTGCATTTTAATTGAGAGAAAAAAAAGAGCAACATTAAATACTGGAAATAACATAAAGTTCCCTTCATATGGATATAGTTTATGGTGACAAAGGTTAGAAAAGATAAAGTGTTTCCTAGTTGGAAGAACATGCGTCAGGTTTCTTAGGAAAAAAAATCTCTAGATCAACAGATTCCATTGAAATAAACAGTTTTCATAGAGTAGTACACTTAGAAACCAAACCACATGCCAAAGGGAGAAAGGTACGGCAGAGAACTTACATTTACACACAGGACAAGCAGCACAAAGCACCAGCTGGACATTCACATTTAAACTTCATACCATTAGTGTGGGTGTGCTACTAAACTGGACGGCTCTCAGGTTTTCACAAGGTTGCTTTATTGTGGGTTCTAGCTGGAGTGCTGAGCTGTAGACAGCTCTATTAGTCAGCATGGCAGCTGTCCTACAGCACTGGCTTTGACAGATATCATTTTAATATTGCACATTTCCTTTCGAGACAAGCCTTCATATGAATGGACTGAGTTTTGCTCTTAGCCTCTCCATCCTCGCTGGAAGAAGACCCACCATTTCCTTACTGAGCTCTAGTTCGGTTTCAACGGCACGGACAGCATCTGGATACTTCTCACAATAGTCTACCAGAAATGTGTAATATTCCAATGAGGTCTGCATGTTTTCCAGTTGCTTTTTGCCGTCCGAAGTAATAAGTTTACCGTACAGCCGGGCAATATGGAATTTGGCCACCATGGCAGGGCGAAGAACATCCTCCTCGAGCTCTTCGGGAAACACCTTATCTGGGTTTCTCAAAGAATCTAAGAACAGTTCGTAGTACTTGATTGCTAACTGAGCTAGCGAATTGATCTTTTTAATGGTGTGGGGGTCTAGCTCTTCTAACCTGTTACCAATAGCTACCTTTAAATCCATCATCTCGTAGTAGGTGTCTGCTAGCTCAAACTGCAGCTGCCTACTGATCAGCAGGTAGTACTGAGGATTCAGGTCTGCACAGAGAGGCTCCAGCATGTCTACTCGACGCTTATGCATCTTGCAGCGCCGCTCGTAGTCTTCCTCAAAGAAAGCAAGCACCTTAAAGAGGGCACTGTGATCCTGAACAATCTCTATGTGGTCGGTAACGTARCCGTCAACCTGAAAGAACTCTTTTGCTTCCTGGACATAGTTCTGACCCACCAGGAAGATTTCTCGGGCTTCTTGGAAATCTAAAGGATAGACACAGCTCACTTTCTCCTCCATGGCTAAGACGGAGTCACATATATCACTCGTCACAAACAGGACAGCTTTCTTCCTGCCGTTCTCTTTTTCATCCTCCTCTTTCTTCCTTTGGGCTTTAAGTTCCAATTGCCTGTCAAGATCCAGCTCTCCTATGTTATCCTGAAATGAGAAAACATATTAATTAAAAATACACATGGCTTACAGAGAAACACTATGCTGATTTTTTTTTTTTTTAATTATGGGCTAGCTTTCAAATGCCAACTAATCAGCAACAGGACAGAAAACATGACGTGTTGGCATATTAAATGTTACAGCCACTGAAGGCCACGTAGAGTATATTCTCAATTCTGTAAAACCGTAACATTTAAAAACAGRCACAGACAATTTAGGCTTTTCTACCCTGGGAGACAAGCTAGCCAAAACAATAAGCCAACAAGAGAGCCCAAAGACCCTGCAAAGCATTTCAGCACACGCAGAGTGTTACACACTTGACACGAATGGAAGTCCCAGCACGCAGCTCTGAGAGGGTGTTCCTACAACCCCTCCAATAAAAAGGGATCTATCAAATCAAACCACAAGGAAATACAGCAGAGAAGAGGGCCATCTATCAAGTTTCTGCACAAGCATCACTCTGATAGTGCTACAGAACCGATCTCCTATCTAGGTTTATTTTTAAGTGCTACAATCAAGTCAAAAACACCCGTTAGGTTTCCAGTATCCACTGCCTTGTTGACTGATCAGTGGTTTATCATTTGCTACCTATTATGAAACGATCACCGCTACAAACATCAAAATCCATTAAATGTTTTCAAACAACTGCAATTACAGAAGAAATTTTCCGTTACCTCAAGTAATTTCCGAGCACTCTGCAAAAGATTGAGGCAATACTTAATCCAGCATCTTGCAATTTCAGCTTTCCTCTGCCGAAGGTCCTGTTGGTCTTGCTCTGTTTCATCTAATAAACGGACATCAACACACAAAAAAAAAGAAATTTGAGCATTTTAATAATAACCTCAAGTGTTACATGCAAAAAATATGTTACTTATATTTATCAGGATTCATTTTTTCCCATTGTTAGACAGAAGCATGTTCTCCTTGTTAGTTCATGCAATAATTCTGTGAGCTGTCTGATAAAAGCCCATATAGATTAAAATGTATGTACTCAAGATGACAATTTAAAAAAAAAAAAAAAAACATTATGTATGGTTAAGAAAACCTTCAATCTCGAGGGCGTTCTACTGGAAAAGATTTGAATTTCCCCCCGTAATAAGAGAAAGGATGATTCTGTTTTCTGAGATTCAGCTGCCTGCTGAGTCATTTCTGCTACAGCGTGGAACCTCCTCAGTATGATCAGGGATTTGTCTCTCAACAGGCGCTGCACTTGCTCCCAGAAAAGGGAATAAAAGCAGGGGAAAGGGCCTGTGGCTTATCCACYTCCCCACAACATAATACCTGCTCGCCTGTAACTTCTGCATTTTCCTCTGTGCTGGCCCCCTGCTATAGACCACAGCCATAACTAGCACGGCCGATGTCTCAACATTATGTTTCCAGAAACCAAAAACAGCCAAGAGAACCGGCTTCGAATCTCCAGGCAGGAGGCGGTSAGGCCGCTCTGTGAAGAGGCAACCAGCACTGCCTGGTTGCTAAATAAAAAGCAAACTTCTGGCTCAGCTTCACTAGATTCACTTTCAGTTGTGTTTCAGTACTGCCAATCGAGTTATTGAGAATAGTTGCTGCTAAGCTGGAAAGGGACTTTTACTAAATATCCCCATTTTGCAACGAGATTCACATGCCAGAATGAATCCCACTCGCGTGCTTGGAAGCGACAAACGCCGACTGCATTAACTTCTGTGACACTTCCAACTTCCTGCGTAGGGATGCCACAGCATCAGTGCACTAAAGAATTTGTATTCTAAACAGCTCCTTTACATCAGTACCCAGAATAACAAGGACAGTACCTAAAAGTTCAAAAATAGTCATTAATGAGGCTGCAGAATGCAGCAAGAAGACAATGCAGATACCCTCCAAGTCTAGGGTTTTTGAGAACTGCAGTTTCCCTTCTCCTTTTAAAATGACTCCCAGAAAGTCTGTGTTTCATTTCATTGAATCATTGCCCTCCAGCCATTTAGAAACAGAGGTGAAACTGTGTTTTAAGCACACATATAAGTGGGTGAATAGACACGTTTCCATTATTGAAAAGCACATTGCTGCAAATTTCAGTTTCTAATATACGACGTGTTTAACTAAAGACAAAAACTTTTCTGATGCTCTCTGGTAAGCTCTCTAAAGCATCAGCAAAAAGCACTTGAATTTCTCCTYAAAGACTTTACACATCAAGTCTCTTAAAAGACACTGTTCTTATCGTTAATAAAAAGATTTTTAGAAAATTAAAATGGATATAATTAGACCTCATTTTAACATAAATATTAGTGATGTGTCATTCACAACATATAACTGAAAACTTTCTTGTGCACTTACTGTCTTCAGCAGAAGGAACCTGTCCAGCTTGGCTAAAGATGACGTTGGCTGCTGCTAAGCAGTGTCGGGCCTCCATAAAGCATTGCTGAGAGGAACAGAAAGGGCACTGGTTATCACTGGTACCGAGTGGCACGAGCTCCACCGCTCCCAAAGCCCAGAGTTACGTGAACACAAGGGACTCTACAGCATCAGCAGCCTTGGGAGCCTTCCCTGGACACGAGGATAAAAAGAGGTAATTTTTCTTATTTACTACTGAGTATTTTCTGAGCAACCATGTCTCTTTCTGGCACAGCCACAATAGCAACCCTTGCTTTTAGCATGAGATATATGCACTGTAAGCGTTTCCATACGCTCTGATCTACGCTGCTGTCACTTCCTGACCCTGCGGGGTGAAAGATTTTATTATAGTGTTAGTCAGAACGCGATGGACATGCAAGACAGTGTGTTATGAGCCAGATATAGATGCCTTTAGTCATATTTGGCAGCGAGTTATATAATGATTTGATCCCACCAATAACGATAAGATACAGAAGTTATAAATTCTCTTTGAAATGGGCAGTAACAAACATAGGTATTGCAGAAGGCCCTTAGGCATCGGAAAATAATGTCTGGATAAATCTGGAGTATAAAAATCCCTAAAAAAAACCTGAAGCATTTCCTAACACAGTGGGTTATTCAGAGTCAATACAGATGGTATGAGACAGTTACCGGCAACTGTTATAGGCAACATACAGTGTGCAAAATGTCATCCCTAAATCATTGTTATTATTTAACTTTTACTGTAGGAGAACAACATGATTGCAGTTATAATCATCAGCTTAAAATTATGCAGGGACAACCATTTCAAGCATCACTTACAAGCATCATGTCACATCATCACTGAAACTTTCATTAACTATAGAGCTCATCTTGCGTCTACCGCCCTGTTCATTTTCCCTGCTGCCATCAAACTAACATGTGAAAGCACAACCACTACACCCACCTCCAAAAAAAAGAACAGATGCTTCACGGGAGAAGACAATTTGTGTTTTTACAGAAGGACATTTTTAATTCAAGAGGGAGCCCTGTCTCAAAGGGCTGTTTAAAGAACCATTTCACTTGATAGCTGTATTCACGAGCTACAGCAGGAAAACACTAAGCACGTTACCTTGGAGAGATAATACTGTGACAAGGTAGCAGCATTGAGTGCCCATTCTACCGGGTAGTAGCCACTAAACTCCAGCTGTCGCTTGAGAGTGGTGTGGCAATACTGGGCAGCCTTCTCAATCATCTCCAGGTGCTGGTAGACTTGTGCCAGGTAATATAAAGTGTGGGTATAGGCTTTTTCAAATCTGCAACAACAACAACAATCTCTTTACATTTCTTAAATATTCCCTCAGCAGCGTGCCTAGGGGTGTTTGGGATGGATATGAAGTCACCTTTTTGATCTTTCTTGGTCTGTGAGTTTTTCTTCTTCATCCATAAAGTGTTCACTGGGGTCCAAGGGAGGGTTTCCATCCTGTAAGAGAGCACAGGTATAATCAGCGACACTGCTTTCACTCTGTGACATCGTGCTCCCTCTTCTGGCTGCAGACCATTTATCAATCCTYAGTTCTTCAAAACTTCACCTAATACCTTGATAGCCATCTGAAACTTACACCCCTAAAGCATATCAACAAGAAATGAGGATTTAAATGAAAAGTGGCTCAGTTGCATATGGAATTATAAGCTTTTTCAGCTTGCAGAAGACTCATGCTTACATATTGCTAAATTATTGGATGCTGTTTGGACAAGAGAGACTCACTTTGGATTCTACAGACTATCTTGGACAATTAGTGATGTCTCGGGACCCCAAAAGTTCCTGAAACAGCAGGAATATAAATAGAGCAGTAAGATACCACAAGAAGCCTTGAAATAGGAGTTACCTGCTACAAACAGGAAGAACAAAAAGAAGGGACCGCCTGGGAAACCTTGAAGGGCTGTTTGTGAACTTTGTGCTTCTGGGGGCTCACAGCACCYCACCTTGCCTCCAAGCAGGCTGCTCCACTTAAATATAATGAGAGTAACATTCCTGCTTTGGGATAGCGGTCAGAATGGGCTAACTCCATAACAGTTAACACACTTGTGCTGGAAGATCCAGATAAACCAAAGGAGCAGCCATCTCTGGAAGTGAATAAACCAATACCCCTGCCCTGTGCGTGTGACTGACTTACTGCACACCACGAGACGGAGCCTGCGTGAGGGTCAACAGCAACGCAACGGTATCGGTATAACACAAAGTGCATCTTCAAGGGTGAAATATCTGTTTTTACTTGCCTGCGCCTGCCTAGGTTTCCTTTGTGACTGTGCCTAACTGCAGACACCAGTTCCAAGACACCTCAACTGAAGGGGCCTTCCTAAGGTGGCTTTTGCCTTGCACGGTGCATCCTGAGGAACGTCTAACGTGCCTGTCGGCAACACACAGCCCAGCTGAGCGTGCTGTTCAAGTGCTACTTTGCTGTACTATCCTCTTCCCAACGTAAAAAGCACCAAGAAGARAAAAACAATTAATTAATTAAAAAGCAGCTCGCAAGGTTCCAAGAAATCTGAAATGGGATGATGATGATGATGTGCATATACCCTAACCAGGCAGCAAAGCCCCAGGAGGAACATTCGCTAGCCATTACCTAACACCACATACAGGTAACTACCAAAAAAATAAGCCTTTCAACTAAATTTAGAGTCAAGATGCAAATATCCAACAGCATGATTTAATCTACTGAAACACGAAGGTAAGATTTGAGCTCAATTTCACAATGGCCAGAGCAAGAGCCAGAATCTCGGGTGCTGAGAAAGCCAGCAGGATAAACACACTCAGAAGGGCATCTATCAGACCTGGACACCCAGAATTAACTCAAGTCTGTAGAGAGCTGTAGTATTTTAGCTAGATGAACTGGTGAAGAAGGAGGAAATAGAGAGACAAGCTTTCCAGCACAATGTGTGTTCTAGATCTATGACCTCCGGTAACGTTAGGCTACCATGGCTACAAGGAGAGTGCTGCAGTGGGAACCAGAAGATACAAGCTGCCCCACGCTGGGTCTTGCTCAGGAGTAACCTGCCCTCTAACCTAAGCGCACGTGGATTCTGAGCCGCGGATTCACCACCCAGGGCTCCGAGCYGCGGATTCACCACCCAGGGCTCCGCGCAACCTGCGGGGCTCTCCTGACGCCCCAGGCTGCAGCCCTGTGCTCCATGGACACACGTTTGTGTGGTTTGCTCAGGGACTGGCCCTGAGGCAAGCGAGCCCTTTGCGAAGGGGGCAGAAAAACGGGGAGGCTTTAACAGGYAGTCCAACTGGCAGCTCCAGGGGTTGTTCAGTACGCACAAGGCGGGCGGCGTTTTGCGAAGCCACGTCTTTGAAATGGGGAGCTGAACTCTTTTGCCTCTCATGCAATGCTGCACGTCAGTCCTGCACGTCGGAGCAAGCCCACAGCAAACACCACGCAGTTGTATTTCTGCTCCCTACRGGAAGCAACGGCTTGACGCTCCGCTGCGTTTCCAAGAAAAGGGCACGGACTCGTAACGAGCAGCCACATTCCGCGTGGCTTTGGTTCTGGATGAGCAACTYGGAGCGCTTTCACGGCACCGCAGGGTGGATTCAAGGGGTGGTTTCTGAGCAGCGCTATGTTTCGGGATGCGCGCGTTCCCACGCTGGAATGGGCRGGCGCTGCTTCCCGCGGTACGGGAGCTCGGGAGCGCGCCGGGCCGCGCGTACCTCCTTCATGTACTGCTGGTACGCGCTCTCCGCCGCCTCCAGGTGCTCCCGCGCCGTGTGGATCTCGTCGCGCTCGGACCACAGGATGCCCAGGTTGTTCTGCGGGGACAGGGAGGCGTGAGGCCCGTTCCCGCTCCCGYTCCCGYTCCCGYTCCCGCTCCCGTCGCGCGCTACCTGCGCCTGGATGTAGAGCGCCACGCAGCGGCGGGAGAGGCGCTGCGGCTGCAGGAGGCGCGTGCAGCGCAGCAGGTGCTCCTCGCCCGCCGACAGCTCCTCCGTGTCCGCGTGGTTCACGCCCAGCTCGTACTCGAGCACGGCGCGCCGCACCGCCTCGCCGCCCTCCGCCGCGCCGCTCAGCAGCTGCTTCACCTCCTCCAGCAGCGCGCGCGCCGCGTACTTGGAGCGGAACGGCTCCGTGGCGGGGTCCTTGCGCGACTCCACGCGGGACAGCGCGCGCGCCGCGCGGAACTTGTCGCGCGCCGCCGCCCACGCCTCCGCCGCCGCCGCCGCCATCTTCCCCGCGCCGCCGCCGCCCGCCGCCATCTTCCCTCCGCCGCCGCCCGTCGCCGCCGCCGCGTGACGCGCGCCGGCCAATGGGGCGCGGCCCCGCCCCCCCCGTCCCGCCGCCCCGCCGTGAGGGAAGAAAGACCGGGAGAAAAGGCAGGCGTTTCCTTTTCCTTTACTTCTCCATAAAAACCCCGCGCAGGCCCGCCGCCCTCAGCGGGAGGACCGGTTAAAGCTCTGTCCGTGGCCGCCGCCCTTAAACCTGCCGTTCTTCCTGAAGCCGCCGTTGGCGAACCTGGAGAAGCCGCCGTTGGCTGCCTCGTGCGGGAGCTCCTCCAGCTCGGGAAGCTCCTTGGCCACGGACAGCTGCCAGCGCCGCGAGTTCCGCCACTGCTCCTGCAACGGGAAACCTCCGGTAGCAGCCCCGCAACAAGGGCTGGATGATCCGTGAGCAAAGAGGGAGCCCTGACCACGGAGAGCKCGGAAATTCAACTGAAAAATCAGGTAATAGGAGGGGAACTAAAGGCAAGGCCAGGCAGCAGAGGTATTTTGTAAAGACTGCTGTTATCCCTATGCATTCTTCTGGTAAAAATCACAGCCCTCTTCCCAAACTGGCCTGTGATGCTGTAATTACAGTGCCCTTTGTCCAATGTGTCGCCCCTAAAGGTTCCCAGAGCAAATTCTGACCTTAAAAAGTAACAAAGACAAATACCTGTATGTTACTTAGTTCATCCACAGGGATATCAAAGCACACGCCCTGTATGCAAGGAAAAAAAGACGTAATTTGTTTTCCCCAAAAAATGTATCTAATAACAGTCCTTCCTATGCAACGGTACACGCTGTTACTGTTGGTTTACAGGCAAAAAATAAAGGTTCCGGCAACCACTTTACATATTGTGATGCGCACATGAGGAGCAGTATCTTCATTCAAGCAGATGCCGTAACACCTAGCTAGTACATACACTGCGTAAAATATATTGCACAGTGTAAAAACAGCAGTTAAATGGGTGTCGTGTGATACAGTCCAGCTCACATGAAGGAGGAATGAGCTGGAGGATGGATGGAGTGCAGCGACGCCTCCACACTCGTGCTTCCCACCCATCCCGGCTGCTGCACAACGTGACCGCGGCTTCCCCACGGCTGTGCCCTCTTACCAGCTTGCCCTTGAGGAAACGCATCGCGGATATTTTGGCATCCACCTCCTCGCCGAGCTGCTCCTTCAGCGCTCGCCACGCGTAGCTCATGGTGCGCATCTCTATGGAGCACTGCAGCACCATGGTCACAAAGCCCTTGCGGAGAAACAAGCGCAGAAACACGGTGACAACAGCAGGCTACACTCGCACGGACCGTCTGTAACCCACTAACTGTCTGTAGGCTCTCATTCAGGTGAAGGAGCCAGAAACAAACCAGAGCAGCTTCCCAGAAACCCCAGAACAAGATGCCACCCTCGGACTGAGCTCCAGCCACTCATTTATCTGCGCTGTGAGGGCAGAGGGAGCGTCACTTACCGCTGTTGAGTTGAGTAAAGAGCGCTGCTGAATGGAAGATGCTCCTGAAATATGAGCTAGAGCTGCGGCCAGGGCATCGAYGGCCCCTTTCTCCTCTATGAGCTCTCGAGCTGACTCTCTGAAGTACTCTACCGCAGAGGGGGGAACCGCCTCCAAAAACCTAAACGTTGAAAGGAAAGGCTTGAGTGAACAGCGCACCAAAGGCAGTGTGCAGCACGGTCACGTACAAGACCTGACAAACATTTCAGACAATCTCCGAGGCTGTTTACCTCCCAAATCCCTGGATGTAGCGTTAGTGCTTCATTACCACTCATCTAACTCAACTCCTTCAAGGATGCTGAACACCCACTTTCTTGATCCAGGCCTCAAAGCTGTGTGCCAAACTGAGGACACACAAGACACCAGAGAGCTTTAATAACTACATTCAAAGGGAGGAGCCAAAATATCAGCATTTTGAAGGCCACGAACAAGGATCCACAAAAAAGCTGTCAGCAAATCTGAGAACCCCTTGCCATTGTAAACCACTACAATACCACMACAGGCTGAGGCCTGGCATTTCTTGCTCTCGGTAAAAGCAGATTAAATTGCTCCTTTAAGAAGGAGTAAAAACAAATCAAACAAACAGCCCAGGATGGGGCTATAACAACTCCTCACTATATGAAAAATCGCTATGCTATTAAATGTTCTCACTCTATCACCATGTGAGGAGGAGATCAGCTCCCTCATACAACGGCCGTTTCCTATTCTGATACTGGTAATTAATTTCTTCTGATGTAAACTGCAGGTTTATTTTGCAGTAACATTCTCACAACACCAGCTTGTGTTGTGCTGCTTGCCTGCAGGCCTGATCCCTTAAAACTGCATTAACAAGGTTGCTGGTAGGAGCTCCAGACAACATTTACAACACTTACTTCTTGGCATCACTACTTGAAGCTTTGATTATCTCTGTGGCAGAAGGAACACCTATACGCTTGAATGTAATCCCCTGAAATAAAAACAAATGAATACGTAGATAAATAAAACAAAACAGATTAAGGTATTTTTAGCACTCTATAGCACAACCCTATCTGAGCCACATTTCTAAGGCCCCTGTTCACCTGGTGGTTGGTAGAACACCAGCAGTCTTCATTTAAACACCAGCAGTCTTCATTTAAATGAAGTTTTAAGCAGGAATAAAGCTGGTATTTTAATTGCTGCCTTTTAAATCTGGAGCTACTTGGTATCAATTGAAGCACAGATTGAAATGAAAGGCAGGGTCGCTTTCCTCATCACCTGTGATTCTATCCATGCTGACACTAACAGATTAGTGCCCTCATGGGAAAGCTCACAATAAATCAGAATGGGGTGATACAGAAAGCATTTCTAAATCCTTACCAAAACTCATTATTTTCAGCTGTCCCATTTCCACGGAGGACTCACAGGGCCACAAGCAGCCCACAGATGCAAATACTAAGAGTACAGGAACAAAATGAATTAAAAGAGGTGCAAGGCAGAACTCACCGCTTTGTGCTCCACCTGCTTCAGCAGGTCTTCTTCTCTTCTCTGATAGAAGCAAATACAGATCCCTGTGCGGCCAGCACGGCCCGTGCGGCCAGAACGATGGATGTAGGAATCAACGTCCTTCAAAAATTCAGATTAATACGATAAACTTTATGTCAGTTAACACTGCTGGGTATTTTACACATTTTGAGAGAGAAAATACAACCTAAATTCTAATTTAGAAGCCTAAAAATTGATGCATAAGGTTTCTATACCCAAACCTGTTACTACAAACACACTACTGCAGATCTGTTCTCTAGAGTTGAACACTACTGACGTGTATTTCTGGAAGTAAAAAGATCCACTGAAGTTTCAAAAGAAGCAAAATGCCACAGGAGTATTTTAGAACTATCATGAAATTCAATCTAATACTCCAAAGGGATTCAGAAATACTGTGGGAAGGATGTCAGAGCTATCTAAAGACCTTTCTAGGGTAATGGAAAATACTCATTTTAATCACAGTTCAATACTTAAGAGCTTAATTATAAAATTCTAGACATGCCTTTACAGAAAATCTACTTCCTTGGTATATCTGAACATAAATTCCCATGAAACAAAGCAGTCGCTGATTGTTCTGCTGCAAGAAAATAAATGGCAATTTCAGTTTCTCTCAGGGACTTGCCTTTGGAGGTGAACACTGTACAACAAGGTCAACTTCAGGAATATCCAAACCACGGGCAGCTACGTTTGTTGCAATAAGAACCTCGAAAGCACCATTTCTGAAGCCTTTTAAGGTGATTTCTCTCTGTTTCTGTGGAATGTCACCATGCAGTGACTGGGCATCCTGTCAATGAAACAAATAGTAACAACATCAGGAGTTTGATTGCAGGATCAGGAGTTTGAAACAAATAATAACAACAGGCGTTTGATTCCAGCAATGGGAAAATTTGGTGGTAAAACTCACAACATTTTGCAACTAAGAACAGTTCTGCAGGTCACACCAAATGATTGCAGAACTTTCTACTTTGGGGATGATCCTTTTCTGGACCAATAATACAGAGCAGTAGTGAAATAACTTGCAGAGAACTAACAGGAGACTTTGCTCCCCCTTCCCTGTAAAGCTTAACAGAAGACGATCTGAACTGCATTTTTGGGGGGACAAGAGGTAGAGCTAAAGTATCCGACAAGCAGAAAGGGCAGTCACAAGCTCAGAATTCAAAAAAAAAAAAAAAGAAAATCTGTGCTAACGTGGAACTTAGTAGCACAACAGAATAATGCCACATACTGACACAAATCCACCAAGTCCTTAGTGGCTCTAGTGCAGAAGTGTCAGGGCAAATAAAATAGCTCCTATACAGTTTTAATGTGAATAGTGTATGACACATATTGAATACCAAGCAAGATGTGCTTGCCCACCACTGCTTCTCCCATCTTTTGGGACTGACTGTAAAAAGGCTAAATAATGCTGCCCAGTACCTGTGGGTACTGGGCCCAGTACCTGTTTGAGCGAAGCATTCAGAGCCAGCTCATTTGCCTCCTTCTTGGTCTCACAAAAGACGATGGTCCGCCCGTGGCTGCCGCTGTAGACCTGAATGATGTCCCCAAGAACCGCCGGCCTCTGAGACCAGCGACACTGTATAGCCAGGTGCTGTTTGGGACAGAGAGGAAACAAGCTTCTATGTTAAACATAAACACGGGACACTAACTAATGTCAGGTGTCGGGGGAMAAAAACGAACATAGATATATTGTAAAATAGATCTAAAGCTTTAATTGCAACTACTGCCTGGGGAAAGCTTTTATTTACAAACTTATCKGCCAACCGAGAGAAAAAACATTTCCCACCTGCGTTTGGAAATTCAGAGACAGAAGCCAGGTCACTCGGACCACAGCCTTGCAGGACCTGCACTGTTTTACAGCAGTAAAACCTCGCTCACCTCCACGGTTGTGGCAGTCCTTTGAGTCTTCTTTCCAACCAGGTCAATTTGCTCATATTCACCTTTCATGTACTTCTTCCCTACATCATATACCCAACGTGGACAAGTTGCAGAAAACAGCAGCGTTTGAGGATTATCCTCAGAATCTGAAAGAAAAGGCCACTGCAATCAGTCATTGCCAACTGCAGCAACAAGATGTGGAAGGAACAGAAACATTTTTACTACTTTTTATGCACCAACACCAAAATTAACAGTAAGAAAATACAATGGACTACTCCACTTTCAACCCTGTCCTTTCTTCATTTTCAAACTACAGACAGAAATTCTCTAACAAAAATGGGAATAGAAAGAATCCTGGCAGCTATATCACGTTTTATAGCACAAGCACAGCGTATTTAATTCTAGTATTACACAGAGATGACGTACCACCCTAGTTAAGAACAGTTTAATAAAAGTCCTTTTTTTATTATTATCATTAATAGAAAGAAAAACATTGCCTATTCCACCTTTTGTAATTCATCAAGTCACTTTCTGAAACCATCTGCCRTCTTCCTCTCAACCTTCTCCAGTTCTAGATTTACCCCTTTCTGAGGTTGGATACTAGTGCTGATGCCAGAATTTACCTTTTTTATAAGCAAATCCTAAGATTTCTTCTACTTGCTCAGCAAAGCCCATGTCTAACATGTGATCAACTTCATCCAAAACAACATGCTTTACAGAGGAAAGATCCAGCTTGCTATTTTGAATGTGGTCTTTGATCCGTCCTGGAGTTCCCACCAAAACATCAATGCCACTTTTGAGGAGATCAACTGCAAAACAGAAAGGCAAAGACAGTGTCAACATGCCAAGAAACAACAACATTAACAAAAAGTTCCCAGGACAGAGCAGCACTTGTAATTTTAAAATGAAAAAGCTGAATTCTTTCTTTTTCATATATAACTGTAGACAGGGAAAGACATGCTCACATACGGAGTTCACTTTTCCCTGGATAGTCATTCAGTCTCATCATTGAGCCGCTCATAAAATACATCAATTAAAAACAAACAAAAAATATCCAATATAAGAACAAGAGGATTAGTCACTTTGCAGATCTACCACCATTCTTTTGAGCAGAGATTTACTGGAACTAAAACAACCCAMGCTCAGCTGTGGGTTTCCTTTAAAAATGATGCCATGCTTCCTGACTGAAGGGAGACTCCRAGGGAATAAAAGCCATTTTTATTCGTGAAAGGCATTTGGAGATTGCCAGCACAGACCCCTTTGGGTTTACTCACACTGCGCTTTGTAGGGCGTTCCTCCATAAAAACAAGCCACTGAAAGCTTCCTYGTGAGATTCTGGAAGTCTCTGGCTACCTGAATGGCCAGCTCCCTGGTGGGGACAAGAACCAGCACCTGGAAACAGGGAAAAGAGACAGAAATGCAGCTGGGTTCACAAGAGGGAGCAAGMAGCAGAGAATTTCCTTCATGCTAGAACTGCCCTTGTTTTTTTTCCTGTCCTTTTTGATTCTTGTCACTTTGTAGCCCCATTTTCTACGCAGGTTGCAGAGGGACCCAAGCAGCCCCCTCATTGCAGGGGCAATTCCCACCACCGGGACACGCACCTCACAGCCCCACAGCTAGCRAGAGCCAACAGGAGGGAGCTGCAGGTAACTGCAACGCAGGACACTGATGGATGTTCTCAGCAATAATGCTAGATAAAGGAGAAGCTTTGACAGCACATTGCCCAAAAAGGGTGACAAGAAACCCTGTGTGTGAAACTTGTTACCACTGGGTTGCTACAAAACCCTTGCAACACTATCCTCTGACCTGGGAAAGCGCTCAGGACTCCAAACAGCAATACGGGAGCACAAGTGCCCTGTGCAACCAGCAAAGCACTTTAAACCCACCATGTTCAAAGCCTGGGTTTCTAAGCCTTAAGTCGGGATGTTACCTTTGGTGCACGGCCTCTTTTCCCATCCTGCGGGACRCTCTGCAGTTTCTCAACCAGCGGAATAGCGAAGGAAAAGGTTTTCCCGGTCCCCGTTCGAGCCTGGGCGATGAGGTCTTTGCCGTCGTATATGGGCTGGAACGTCTTAACTTGCACCGGGAACAGGTATTTCACACCTCGAGCTGCAAGGAAACGCAGAAGGGTTTCGGGAAAGGCAGCTAAACCTCTGAACAAGCAATGAAATCCCTCGCAAACACACAACACACATCTTGCCAAGGCTGGTGCAGGAAATATTCATCAGTTTGTTGTCACTCCTACTGTAGGAAAGGAAATATTCCCCCCAACTGAAGTGTTCACAGAGAAATAACAGCCTTCCCCTCAACAAAGTTGGCATAAAACAGAAAACTCCAGATTATTACAGTTTGGTTTGGGGAAAAGTGGTCTGAGGAAAGAGACCACCGTGTTTTTAAATATATGTTAAAATAAAAAGGGAGATTTTTGCACAACCCAAGCAAAGTAACTGAAGTGAAACTTGCAAGCAAGCAAAATATGAAGCAATATACAGAATTTAATCCGAGGAAGGAGATGTGTATGTAAAGCAATGGGAACTGRGGCCAGTTCACCCTCGGTCCCACTCCGCTGCCGCAGGTAGCGGCGCGATTGCCCCCAAGGGCCCCCACAGACTTCCTCCCTACTCCTCTTACCCCTGAGGAGACCCACGGTGTGTGGCGAGAGCGGGAAGTTGGCGAAGGCGCCTTGCCGCGCCTCGGCGCTCAGCTCCTGCGGACCAAGCAAAGGGGCTCAGAGGCGCGGGCGGCGGCGAGGCGCGGGCCGGGCCGCGGCGCCGCGCCGCTACCTCGGGCTCCTGCTCGGCCTCCTCGGGCTGCCGCTCGGCCTCGGGCTCGCCCTTCCTGCCCTTCTTGCTCCTCTTGGCCTTGGGCGGCGGCAGCTCCTCCTCGCCGGGGCCGCTCTCCGGCGGCTGCGGCTGCTCCTGGGCGGCCGCGGCGCGCCGCTTCAGCGCCTTGCGCTCCGCCTTGTCCTGCGGGGAGACACGCTGAGCAACCGCCGCAACGGC